CCGGGAGAAAGTAAGAATTGCCTTGGAAATTCCCTATTTTAGCGATTAATCGATTATTAACGAGTATCGCATCGATTTCGAACGTTCCTGAATGTTCTTCTTCTACACGTGATCAAACTCCACCTGACCTCTCGGCAAAAGATATGGGGAACCACTAACCTTGGCAGCCGACCTTCCAATTCTAGAAGTCGAAGGTCAGTAGAGACCTATAAATACGGCCAAGGTCCGCAGTTGTTGTACAGTGTTCGTTGGCTGCGATTAATACGTTGTTTGTCAGGGTCATTGGCGTTTTGCTTTTTTCCTTCGGTTGGGCTGGGAGTTTTGTGGAGCAGTCAATTGTTATTTTTTGGAATTGCGTCTAGTGAGAAGATTATAACAAATGGCGACGGAGAAAAGTGGAAATGTGATGAATTTTTCTGCCGAACAATTTCAAAAGCTGCTTTTTCAACAGCAAGCTCAAATGGAGGCGCAAATGAAAATGATTGAAAATCTGACAAAATGCTTGAGTTTGAAGACAACAGGAGCAGCGACACGGGACATGCAGACGAGTTCTGTTGATCTTCTCACGAACGCGATCACTGAATCCAATTATGATGCGGATTCTGGATGCACTTTCCAAGCGTGGTTCAAACGCTGGGAAGACATGTTCCAGACGGACTTCATTCGTCAGGACGACGCCTGGAAGTTGCGACTGCTACTCCGCAAGCTCGGAATAAGTGAACATTCAAGGTTCATAGACCACATTTTGCCCAAACAGCCGAAGGATCTGACTTTTGACGAAGCAGTGTCGCAGTTGAAGGAAATTTTTGGTGAGTCGGTATCTTTGATTAGTATTCGCTATCAATGCCTGGAACTTGTCAAACAGGAATCTGATGACTTTGGGGCCTTAGCAGACATGATTAACCGTGAGTGTGAATGATTCAAACTACGCTCTTTAACGGACGATCAGTTTAAGTGTCTCATTTTCGTCAGCGCTCTACAATCGCCCAGTGACGCTGAGATCCGAACGCGGCTTTTAGCTAAACTGGAGCAGGATCCTGATCTGACACTGAAGGCCCTCGTAAGCGAATGCAAACGGCTTCTCACTCTACAACACGACACTGCCATGGTCGAACGCAATGGTCTCGCACCAGCAGATACCGTGTAACTCGTGAAAAAGACCAGGACCGCCAACGCAAGCAAACCCTTCAAGAGGCCTATGAACAAACCGCCCACAGCATGCTGGTCATGCGGCGAACGGCATTTCGCTCGCTTTTGTCCCTTCAAACAACATATTTGTCTCACGTGTCATAAGCGTGGGCATAAAGAGGAATGCTGCAGTCAGGTCCGGTCGAAGAAAATGAAGCTTTATCGAAAAGGTAATTTTAGAAGGGGCGGCGCTGAGTCTCTCTCCATAGTTGCCGCATTCCAAAGCGAATGTAAACCGAGATGACGATTCATCACTGTGTTAATCAATGGGATCCCAACGAAACTGCAATTTGACACGGCCTCAGACATCACAATCATTTCCAGACGCACATAGAATCACCTAAAGAGGCCGAAGATGGTCGACTCCCAGAAAGTTGCATATAATGCATCCGGCGGTGTGTTACGCTTGGTGGGCGAACTCAATTGCAAGATTGCTTTCCAAGGTGTGGAAAAGTCGGGAACATGCTACATTTCGGATCGGCCGAATTTGAATCTTCTTGGCCTCGACCGGATTGAAAAGTTGAAGCTCCTCGATGTTCCCTTGAATCAGATCTGCAACCGAGTCCGAGCAAGTCCAGACCCATCAACAAAGTCCGTCGAAGACATGACATGTACCCTGAAGCGAAAATTTGCTTCTGTCTTTCAGGATGGCTTGGGCCACTGTACGAAATTCAAGGCAACACTGAACTTGCGACCAGGTGCTAAACTAGTGTTCAAGGCTAAAAGACCGGTACCCTATGCAGCCATGTCAACCGTTGAGTAAGAGCTCGATCGACTGGAACGTGCCGGAGTCATCACAGCCGTCAACTACTCATCATGGGCCGCACCTATTGTCGCAGTGAAGAAAGCAAATGGCAAGGTACGCGTCTGCGCTGATTTTTCAACTGGCCTCAACGCCGCGCTGGATGACCACCAGTACCCCTTACCTGTACCGGAGGATATCTTTAAATAGTTGAATGGTGGTAAGTACTTTGCTAAGCTTGATCTATCCAAAGCTTATCTGCAAGTGGATGTTGACGAAGTCTCGAGGGAGTTGTTGACGATCAACACTCATCGTGGGCTATTCCAATACAACCGCTTGCTATTTGGTGTGAAAACGGCGCCAGCCATCTTCCAACACTTGATGGACACTATGCTAGCGGGTGTTTCTGGAACCGCTGCTTATCTGGACGATATCATAGTGATTGGTCGAACACCGGAAGAACTCTTCAACCGCTTGGATGAAGTGCTTGGTTGCATGCAGTCGTACGGCTTCCGGATCCGTGAGCATAAATGCACATTTTTCACGCCGATCATCAAATTCCTCGGGTTTATCCTCGAAAAGGATGGACGTCGACCAGACCCGGAAAACATCGAAGCCATTAGAAAAATGCCTCCACCCACAGATCTACAGTCTCTGCGTTCCTTTTGTGGGCTCATCAGCCACTACAGCGCATTTTTGCCTGAGATGCAAAGCTTGCGTGCCCCGTTAAACAATCTATTAGCCAAAGGACAACCTTGGAACTGGACAGCAGAATGTCAGAATGCCTTCGAACGCTTCAAGTCACTGTTGTCTTCAAATTTGCTTTTGACACATTTCGACCCTTCCAAAGACATCGTCCTAATCACAGATGCATCAAGCCATGGGATTGGTGCAGTAATTGCACACACGTACACCGATGGATCACAAAAAGCAATCGCCCATGCTGCCAGAACACTTACGAAGGCCGAGAAAAACTACAGCCAGATTGAGAAAGAAGCATTGGCCATAGTGTACGCGGTTAAGAAATCCCACAAAATGCTATACGACCGCCGCTTCAAGCTTCTGACAGATCACAAGCCCTTGCTGACTATCTTTGGTTCGTAAAAAGGGCATCCCGGCCTACACCGCCAACAGGCTACAATATTGGACTCTTACCTTAATGGGGTATGATTTCGAGATCCAATATCAGTCGACAGTTTCCAGTGGCCAAGCAGATGCACTGTCACGCCTAATTGATACCCGTCAGCAAGAACATGAAGACACAATCATTGCCTCGGTGGAGATTGAACCAGACATGAACTTTCTGGTAACTGATGCACTGCACTGTCTACCAGTTACCGCAGAAGCTGTCCGCACCGAAACACTTCGGGGCCCAATACTCAAGAAGGTTCCACAGTTCCACAAAACAAGTCGTCCACGTTCATGTCCATCTGCCGAGTTGCAACAGTATTTTCAGAGGAGACACTCACTCTCTATTGTAAACGATTGCATACTATTTTCGGAAAAGTGGTCATCCCCAAGGCTCTTCAGGAGCGCCTTATTCAACAGTTCCACGCCGGGCATCCTGGAATTAACCAGATGAAGGCGCTTGCCCGCAGTTATGTATACTGGCCCTTAATGGACAAACAGTTAGAAGAAATAGCCCAACGCTGCCAAAAGTGTGCCGATGTCTTGAAAGCGCCACCGAAAGCAGAACTCTGTTTATGGCCAACAGTTACTAAGCTGTGGTGCCGCATTCATGTCGACTTTGCAGGGCCGATCAACGGGAGAAGTTTCCTCATTATAGGCGACTCATACAGCAAGTGGCCAGAAGTATTTCTCATGGATAACACAACCACCAATGCCACCATATCGAAACTGCGCCAAGCCTTGAGCAGATTCGGCTGTCCTGAGACAATGGTCACTGACAATGGCTCACAGTTTACTTCAGCAGCGTTTAAGGAGTTTTGCAAGCAATGCGCCGTCCAGCACGTTCGCTCGCCGCCGTTTCACCCACAGTCGAATGGCCAGGCAGAAAGATTTGTCGATACATTCAAGCGAGCTCTGCACAAATCAAAAAGGGAGGGACGTATAGAGGAGGTGGTTGACCGGTTCCTTTTCCTCTACCAATCAACACCGAATCCACAAGCGCCAGACGGAGTTTCTCCAGCACAGGCCATGATCAACCGGAAGCTCCGCATGCCATTCGACGCCATCCGACCGGGCTCGGAGTCCTCTGTTTGTGAAAGAAACCGCAGAATGCAACAGGAGTTTAACCGGCGGCATGGAGCAAAGAAGCGATCTTTCACGCTTGGACAGAAGGTGCTAGTACGTGACTACCGAGAAGGCCATGCGAAATGGACGCCAGGGACGGTCAAAAGCAAGCGCGGAAACGTCATGTATGACGTGAAGGTGGGAGCACAGGTCTGGCCACGGCATGCAAACCAGTTACGGCCCACATCTTACCAACCAGAACAAGCAAGGCCTACTGATCTCCCGTTCGATTTACTGGTGGAAACTTTCAACCTGCCGAAGGTAACAGTGGACGACTGCACATGGTCGAGCAACGAATCCAGAACAAGAACATAGGAACAAAGTTCTCGGGCGCTTCTGCCAAGGAGGTGGACCGACAGGTAGAAAACACCGTCCCAAAGACTGCAAGTTAATCCCAGGCTTTCCTCTTACACCTCGGAACATATCTCAGGAGGGGTGTCCGGGAGAAGATAAGAATTGCCTTGGAAATTCCCTATTTTAGCGATTAATCGATTATTAACGAGTATCGCATCGATTTCGAACGTTCCTGAATGTTCTTCTTCTACACGTGATCAAACTCCACCTGACCTCTCGGCAAAAGATATGGGGAACCACTAACCTTGGCAGCCGACCTTCCAATTCTAGAAGTCGAAGGTCAGTAGAGACCTATAAATACGGCCAAGGTCCGCAGTTGTTGTACAGTGTTCGTTGGCTGCGATTAATACGTTGTTTGTCAGGGTCATTGGCGTTTTGCTTTTTTCCTTCGGTTGGGCTGGGATTTTTGTGGAGCAGTCAATTGTTATTTTTTGGAATTGCGTCTAGTGAGAAGATTATAACAACTAAGCAATGATTTCATAAGAAATCAGGTGATTCTGAAGAGTAATTTAGAGCTAAAGTCCAAATGCATTGCATTCTTATGAGGGAAGCATAACGACACAGTTAGCTCACTGCCCTGGTGGCATTGGTGCTCTGTAAACCACAAATATAAAAATGAAGAAATGTAATAAAATACACTGTATAAGTCAAACAATCACAAGATCGCTGAAAATGCATCTAACACTTGTGAGTGTAGCTAAACTAGTCTTGTAATCTATACTCTACTGTTGCAAAGTAGAAATAAAGATGGGGACATTGCGAACGATGGCGCCGAATCGCGATCGACAAACACAGTGGAGGATACAAATTGGGGAGAGGGGAAGTAAAGGCCACTACGAAACGACTTCGATACAGCCACGCAGAGCGATGGAAAGCCAATGTACAAAAAGACACCGTGGCTGTATCCAAGAAGTAATCACGGTAGAGAGAGGTGTTGAAAAGCAAGCGCGGCATGAACACCGTTGTCGGATGATAAACGCCAGATCGACGTCAAAAAATAAAGCCTACACAAGTGCAACCATGGCGCGCGTAATGTAGTCAGAATAAGAACTAGGCAACCTGCACGGTAGTACCAGGGAAGTCACCGGAAGATTGCGGAGGTTCAGCACATTGTCCATTGAGATTAGCCCCGGAGGATGTTGTTTCATTTTTGAGCACTTTTGGTGAAATGCGACCTTCTCGGTTCTTTGTGACAGAGAGCTCAGCATCTTGTGTCCTATAGTGTTAAAAAAGAAGGAATGTAAACATCGTCCAGAACGTACCTCGTAAAACTGAGTGAAACGGAGATGAATTACCTCAAATGAATAACCAGAATTCCATTCACGCGATTAAGCGTCTCAAGAATTGAGCTTAGTGTAGGCATTGGAATGCCAGAGTTGTAGGGGGACAAAGGACCTGGCAGAAGGGATCGCAGAGTTAGCATAGAGCTGCCCGTATCCGCGTCGTCATCGTCCTTAACGACAACACCGGAACTGGTGTTCTTGGCAGCAACACCGTTAGTTTGTGATGTGGAGACCAATTCGGCCACTTTCTTGGCTCTTGTCACTGCTTGTTGAGTCAGGTTTCGCAGGCATTCGTCACTGTCGCGAGTGTAGTCGCTATCAGGGCCAAGGCGTTCTTTGTAAATGGCGAATCTCCGCTTTTCGTAGGCCAAAGCAGAACGGAAATCGCCGCGGTAGGTGTACGTTCGGCTGATCAGATGACAGGTAAAAGCCTCTTTCAAATTTCTCTCGCCGTAAAAACTGAAAAGAGCATAGACAAAAAGAAAGAGGAAGTGGGGTGGAGGAAGGTTAACTAAAAAGCTGATGAGGTTACACATAGTCCCAAAACGAGGCAGTCAGTGAGTCGGCTCCCAATCCCAAGACCAATTGCAGACAATAGTACGTCAGTAGCCCACACAGGAACTCCGATGTTATGGAAACGAAGGTGATAGAGAGGAAAGCGGACCAATAGTAAACCTTAGAAGTCACATCGTAGGGCCAAAAGCACTTGTGATGAAACCGCTACCTTGCGGCTTTCTCCGTCCGGTCACATCAGAAGTCCCGTTACACAGAGAACAGCACACTTTAAATGAGCAGCTAAGTTGGAGACACACGGCAAACGTGCCCCAGGTGCCTATTGCTAGTCACATGCTACAATGACAAAAAAGCACAGAGCGAGACGCGTAGAATTCAGTGAAAAGCAACAAATAACCAAGAGACTACAGATCTAACATCGACTTGTTAGGTCACTGATTGATTCTTTCGAGCCACTTGCTACCCAGCACCGGATAGATAAAGCATAACTTTTCTCGGCAAGCGAGGTGCAGACAGACGTAAGGCGTGCGTGGATCAACGAGAAGTGCATATCCAAAAAACCTAGTCTGAACACATTGCTTAATACTCGTTCGCGCGTATGTAATGCCACGGTTTAACGAAAAATACAATCCGTAAGTGCGGCTGATGTGGAACAACAAATCGTCAGCGGAGTACAGAATCGGTTAGTGAATGTGACTAGCTTACAACAACGAGATCATGTTTTTCCCAAATTTATCGAGCGCCCGCTTCAGTGTGACGCGTATAATGCTTGGTGATATCCTGGGATCAATGAGATGATCCGAATGCATGGATACACTGGTTGAGTGCGCGAGTGGAAAGCAAAGGAAAGGAGGGAAGAATCGAAAAGCCAGTGGTCTCCCGAATGCCTTTCGATTGCTTCCACTGTACAATCCATCAGACAAAAGACTCCATAGCTTGTGTTCATTACCCTTTGTGTAACCTCCCAACTGAGCACTGAATGGGGGAGTGAAACTGAGTCCATAATCATCATTGTACACGTTAGCTAGGAGTGAAGAACACCCTAGCCATCATGCCGCAAGACAATTAAATTGGGTCACGGCAAAACAGAGAAACAAAACCAAGACATGATTATGCTTTGTCTCATAAAACAACGAGGTTGTACTCGGGAAAGATGAGGCCAATTGTGATCGGTTCTTTACCATATCAACAAGTGCATCGAATCAAACGTGTTAATTGTAAATCGGATCCTAGTCCGAGAACCGAAAGGTGCCAAGTGAGGCGAACTTTGAAGTGAGAGACTTCCATCCGCTTGAATAGCTTATTGATTGACCTCTCCTTCTCTTTGTCCATCCCCATCCCCGGTGTGCAAAAAATGCACATTTCGTAGGTAGGTATGCTTGCATGCATAACGTATGTATCGGAGCTTGGTGGGTCAAGTAAAGGAGCTGAGCGGTTTACTGCCTGTTCCTGCATCATAAACAAGATGTCAAACAAGCTCATCCTTCATGCGGTTTCTACCAGATGTGAGCCAAATTAGGTAACAAACCACTTTATGTGTGTCCATTTCGTGGGCCACGTGCAACAGTCGCACAGGGGGTAGAACGGAAGGATGCCTTATAAAATCTGATTCAGTGCAGGAGCATGTAGTGTCGATGCCACAGGTGGCAAATATTGGAAAAAGCCACTCAAAGTCCTTGCTCCGCGGTTTGTGATATCATACTCTATTCTACAGGCGCTGATACAGTTGAGACTGAACCTTACCGTGGTGCGATGGTTTGGGTGCCTCAGTGATCTATTGAGCTATGCTGGGTGGTGCTTTTGCACCTTCAGAGTCACTCATACCAGATTGGTCAATGGTTAGAGGCCAGATAAACTCAGCCTCCTGGTCCTTCAGATTGGGGGTTGGAATGAGGGTGGCACCTTATTCCTTAAAACGGACTCCTTGTAGCCCAACGCCAAACCAGCTGCTTTGCGGTAAGGTTTTTGAACCAAAGCCTTTGCTTGAGAATCCTAACCGTTCTCCCGTCTAGGCCTGGGCAACCTGACAGTATCCTCCCCACGCAATACAATGAATCTCTCTTCAAACAAATTTCTGATGTTCTGGTCACCGCAGAGGAAAATCAACGGTGCCCTATCTGCTGCATCGAGCAGGGTGGATAGGGGTTTGGATGCTACTGCTCAAGCCTTCCCGTCTTCTTATTCGCCCTCCTAGGCATTTTCACCCTCACCGTCCCGTTCCAACGTAACTTTTATCCCCCCAGTTTTCAACCACCCGATTCTTAGCCCTCCCCCAACATGCTTTGCTAGCCGTTTATCATCTAATTTCAGCTCACATGCTAATGCGGAGCGTCACTCCTCTCCTGTCGACAAGCTCATGTCCAACCAAGCGGTCCATTCCAGTTCATCGACTTCCATTTGGAGCCCTCGATCCTCCTTCAGATTGGCATGTCTCAATGTACGCACATTGCTACAGATCGGTCAATATGCAGCACTTGCCCGAACATTAGAGACCCTCTCGATCTGCTGCTTATCGGAGACCCGCCTGCAAGACTCGAGCCCTGTGCTCACTCTGCAATCCCCTTCAGGTGACGCAAGCAGTATTTCCTCATTGCGCCCATCCGGTGACGATGCAGCTTCGAGCACCGGCCAAGCTGGTGTTGGCATTGCTCTGAGTCCCCGGGCTGAAGCTGCTCTGGTTGATTGGATTCCAATCAGTAGCCGGATGTGTGCGGTCCGACTGGCTGGCTTGTTCAAAGCTTCGAAGTCGCACGGGACTACTAGGTGTCTATTCATCATCGCTCCCTTCGCGTCCACAAATTGCAGCGATGATTCGGTAAAGAACGACTTCTACTGACAAATGACCAAGCTCCGCCACAGAAAAACCTCGGACACTGTAGTGCTGGCGGGGGATCTGAACGCACAAGATGGAAAGTTTTCCACAGATGAAATGCATCTGGGCGGTCAGCACGGTGTAGGCTCCCGTAATGATAACGGTGAGCGGTTACTTCATTTGTGTGAAGATGCCCGCTTATTTATTGTGAGCACTAACTCCCAACACAGTACCTGCCGGAGGGTGACTTGGAGCCCACCAGCCTCGAATCAGCTATGGACGCAAATCGATCACATTGCAATCAGTTACCGCTGGACAGGCTGCATCCAGAACTATCGCTCGATTTGGAGCACATGTGTGGACACCGATCATGCACTTATATGTGCTGACATGCGGATGCGTTTTGGCGGACGTCCACGACACTGTGAGTGCATTGACACCAACCAACTGACAAAGCCAGCTGTTCTGAATGCCTATCAAAATACGCTGATATGCGAGTTGAGTAAGCGCTCACAGGAGACAATTGATGGTCACTGGTCGCATGTTCACCAGACCTTACCAGCAGCAGGAAAATCCTCATGTGGTAAGTCTAATAGTCAACATGGGCATTGGGTCTACGCAGTCTCTGGAAGTTATCGATGCACGCCGGCATATCCCGACTGGAAACGAACACAATGAAACTCGCAAAGTGCTCCGGGCAAAACTCCGTGCTAGCCTGAAGAGAGACCGCGAATCTTGGTGGTTTCTTCGTGCATAAGAGATGGAAATGGCCGCTGCACTTGGTAACCATCGCAAGTTATTCCGTCTGATACGGGAAACGGGCAACAGAAGACCTGGTGTTAGAGAAACAATTTGTGACGAGAGTGAACAGCCTATCCACAATTTGTCAAAACGTTTAGATCGATGGGCTGAGCATTTTGAAAAGCAAGTTAATTGGCCGGCATTGTCCAATTCCATGCCGGCCAGTAATCGCACTGCTCCGTGGGATGTTCCCTTGGATCCACCCTCTCGCTCAGAAGTCAAACGTGTGATCCGACTGTTGGAGTTGAACAAAGCCGCGGGACCAGATGATCTTCATCCAGCCCTCTTCAAATTCGGGGGACCTGCTCTGGTTGATGTTTTACATGAATTACTAGTGAAACTGTGGGAGCAGAAAACTGCTCCAACCAAATGGAGCCGTTCCGTTATTGTTCCCACCTTGAAAGGAGGCTCGCGCTCGGAATGCGGCAACCGTGGAGGAATCAGTCTGATATCCATCGTCTCCAAATTGCTTGCCCGCCATTTTTCACAGACTGGCTGCCACTCGTGAAAGCTAGATTCGTGAAGAGCAAGCCGGGTTTCGTCGAGGTCGTGGCTGCATTAACCCCAATGCGTCAGTTGTTGGAGTACCGTCACACATAGTGGCGGCTCACCGTTGCCGAGTTCCTCGATATCAAAGGCACATTTGATTCAGTGAATAGACGTGCACTTTGAGACTGTCTAGCCAAGAAACGTGTGCCCGAGAAATATGTAACTATTATCCAAGCAATATACGCGCGTAACGCGGGCAGAGTGAGAGCTTACGGCCAGATGTCGCCGCCCTTCAATATCTCCAGCGGTGTGAGACAATGATGCCAGCTATCACCTCTCCTCTTCAACTTCGCTATTGACGAAATCATGGAAACCGCGTTCACAGGACACGACTTTGAAGGTGTGCAGCTACTCCCAGGAGAACGACTTCTCGACTTGGAGTATGCAGACAACATTGCCTTCATCTGTGACAGCTCCCAGACATCCAAAGTCACGTTAGACAGATTAGCACTGGCTGTCAGCTGCTTCGGGCTTTGCTTTGCATCACCAAAGTGCAGAGCGTTTCTCCAAGATTGACAGGGATCGCCTCCTGCGCTGACCCTTGGTGGGGATCTGCTAGAAGTCGTTCGGAAATTCAACTACCTGGGAAGTTGTATCAGCGCCCTTGGGATCGAAGACGACATCACGAACAGTATAGCAAAAGCTCGAAGCGCTTTTGCTAACCTTCGCCACTTGTGGCGACGGCGCGACATCACTCTCGCCCTGAAGGATAGAGTGTACAATGCAGCGGCACGTTCGACCTTACTGTACGGTTGCGAAACCTGGCCGCTAAAATCGGCGGACATGAAGAGGCTAGTTACGTTCGACCATCGGTGCTTTCGCAGTTTGGCTCACATCTGGTGGGAACACCACGTGAGTAACGAGCGTGTTCGACACCTTGTTTACAGTACAGGAAAAGGGAATGAACAGCTCAGCACCGTCATTTCACGCATCAGGCTCCGATTGCTCAGCCACGTGTTGCGCATGCCAGCCCACCGACTACAGCGACGTGGGTTGTTTACTTACCGGGGGGAGGGGGTGGATGGAGAAAGAGGAGGGGTGGTCAACCGATGACTTGGTCCAGAGGAATGAAGGCCTTCACTTCAGAGGTGGCTTCGGTTGGAGCGTCACGGCACCCTGGTTGGGGTCCAAAAGATAATGAACACGTTTGACTAGATACACTTGCTGACATGGCAAGAAGCCGACCTCAGTGGCGTTCGTGTTGTGATTTTCGTTGTCCTTCCCCATCCCTTTTAGCACCTTCTCCCCGCCTCCAACCACGATCTCATTTCGTAGCGTAATATAATTTTACATAATAATTTTTCTTCTTGCCTAGTAATCGGCTGGTAGCTTACCGGAACGATGCCTATCCGTTGCTGGTAGCTCAGCTAGCATGCAACTGTTGTAATTATTTTTCATTTCCTTTATGTATTGCGGCACAGTAGCTGAAATGTTTCCCACCTCTAGCTAAGGTGTATAATAAACGAATGAATGATACAGTTGTCCAGGTAATTGAAGTTCTGAATGACTTCTAATTGATCCACACCAAGGATCAGCGTAGAAGGAGCGGTCCGCACCAATGTTGGAGGGAAGCTCTGCATTTGGAGGGTGCAAAGCACCGACAAACACACAACATATGTCGAATAGATTGTTTCAGAACTGCGTTAAGCATTGAACATATCATGACGCACCACACAGCTTGGTATGCTCGAGAGGTACACGTACATAATGCCTTTATGACATTTAGCGCCCTGATGAAACGATCCTTGACACATCCACAGTGTCGAAATCACACTGCATATATCCATTAAGACGATCAATACGCGTACAAGGGTAGGGTATTGATGAACATAATCTACCATTCGCTGAGCTAATCCTTTTAGACTACACTCTTTCGGTAAAAAATGCATTTATAGGCAGTCTGATGGCGATGAACAGCAGTGGTACATGCTAAACTTAGAGGTAAGAATTTCGGTTGCATAACCGCGAGATGATATCTCGATTCGTTTATAAAGCATGCAGAATGACAAATGCTGGGTTGCAATATGAACTAGCACATCATTTTATCGAACATTTGTCAATTGGCTAGAGTAAAAACAGAAGCTGGATGAGAAAATACTTGCGGAAGTCGTCTGATGAACATTTCCGTTGCTATAGCTCAAGGTAGATGGACCGCAGTATTCGAGGAGAATAATATAAAACAATAAAATTCTGGTTTCCAACAATCCTGGCTGGTGGCCGCAAAGTATAGTGTGTAAATAGAATCCATATTGACAAGGTGGGTAATGCATGCTAAACAACCCCATATGGAGACAGAAACAACGTGGTTGACCGAGGTGATATCACTTTGAGGAGAGAAAAATATTAGTCCAGCTGATCGCATGGTCCATGCACTTGGTTCACAATGCGATGGGGGAAATGGAGTGATTGGAGAAGCGAGTATTGAACGATGGTGAAATAAATCCCAGTTGCTGCATTGCGGATAACAATGAGTATGATCGACAGACTGTGTTGTGGTTTGAGACGATAAGGTAGATGAACACACTCGAGAATGGACGTTTCATTTCAGAATAGAAACATCGGTGAACCCACTGATGTGTGCATACAGGGACTCCTTACTAACAATGGAGGATGTGGTTCAAACAGTAGTCAGTGCCTAGAAAAACGTCAGAATAATTGATTAGGGGACCAACATTCCAATATCCAGTAAACGATACTTACCTAGTGTGGTAAGGGGAGGCCAAGCGAGGACTGGGGGTAGAGGAGTGAAGTCCTTCACTTCGAACTTGACGTAGGTTGGTGTTTCCGAGTGTCGGAGTGGGGAGTGAAAGGCGATGAACGCGTCTGGTTGGATGCATTAATTGACATCACGAAGAGCCGATTTCAGTGGCGTTTGTATTGTGAGTCCTGTCCGTTCCCTCTCCTTTAGCTTCCCCATCCAACAACGATCTCAAACCCTACGCTACTTTTTATAGCTTTTTTAGGCTGTATTGCTTAATGTTATCTTTTTTGTATTTTGGCACATAAGCTGAGAGGTGTCTCTCACTTTCGGCTAACGTGTATTGATGAAGACGGTGAGTGCTGCAAGGGATGGCAGCGAATGATATGATGGAACGGAAGCGGACGGCGTTTATCGGTAGAAAATGGGACATGTAATGATGGGCGCGATGGGTATCAGCGGTAGCTTACGTCGGAACCTGCAATAATGGATAAAGCATGGCCGCATCGGGCACACTCAGATTGTTTAATCCGCGAGGTCTACACACAGCTGTCGGCCGGTAGCCTAGAGGTAACGACCTTGTCTCGCAATCTTGCGGCGCGGGTTCAAATTCGCGTAGGGGCGAGCCTCCTCGCGGTATACCCAGCCAGCCTACGACTGGTGGTGGTCGTAAGGCGGCGAAGCGCCGTTACGGCGTACGGCCGACATTATTTATTAGACACAAAGCGATGAAATACAACTTCGGGGAACGCACATTTGAGTACGCTTGACACACCCAGATATTAAAAGTGTGACATAAAAGAGAATAGACCCACACTTTGCTCAGATCCAACGCGTTCTCAAGAAAGACGAGAGCCAGATCGAATTCACCGACGATTTGAAGCATGAGTCCAATATTGGTCTGATGAAGAAAAGTTACGAAAGTTATAGACAGCATACTGTTGTTGTTGATAATGATGAATGATTGTTGTACAAGCCATGCGAGGAAATGCACCTGAGATAACGTAAATCCGTCATGAAATGAGTACTCGATTCGATAAAGTAAATTAAGTGGCGAACTCTTACAGCAACTCATCGCGTTGTGCAGTCGGTCGGTGCGATACAAACAGTTGGATGAATTCATAAGCAATGACTAACGCAGGCAACTCTTCGGGCTTTACACGAAAACCAAGGTCACACGTGCGGATAATTTAAGTGAAAGGCTGCGGCAGCGCATCCGAGGGACAGGTGGAGGTAAACGCGACTGGCGCCAGAGAGTACTATGAGCATCAGGTTAGAAATAACTTATGAATGCCGGTCACGAATGGAAGGCATCAGCAGTACGTATTACCGACGCTTCGCTGCGCACAACCAACACCGGTCGCACGTGCGCTAAGGATAATGGGAGGGTAACCTGCTCCTGCTCGAACCCGCGGCGTTACCTTCAGGCTAGGGGCCGGCCACGAACGGTAGACCTAGTGATTGAAAACACAATTTGCAAGTGATGTTATTTTACATTTGAGGTAGATCTTGAACACGCGATGAGCACTAAACTTCGATACGACAAAAATGCTGCAGTGCACCCGGAACAAATGGCAGAACACGTCCAAAAACGATCCATGCGATGGGGTGAGAATGGATAAAATGGAAAAGCATCAGCTAACCGAACATGCATGGTCGGAAATGTGAACCAGAAAACAACCTTTCCGCGCTTTCAATCAAATGTGAGTTGCGAGCAGACGTGACATCGATCAGTGAGAGAACAGAAGCGCCAAAACTTAAGGGAAGTTGAAGAACAGAGACACAAGTGTTGTGTCATTAGCATGGCGAAACGCAATGCCTAACAGAAGAGAAGGACTCTTACATCGATTTGCGTCATTTCAGGGTGCACATCGCCGTGACACAGCAGAGCGATATATCGGGCCCGATAGAGCAGCTGCAGAGCCTGCACTATGTGACCACATGCAAAGCAGTACAATGCGAGGTGGATCTGAAGGGAGAGAAAGAAAAGACGACAATAAATACGGACAGAGAGCAGGACACAGGACATGTGGATGTCTATTCCTTCGACCTTCAGATAACGTAAAAAATGGTGAAGGAATGGAAGGTATTTCCCAGATGAGATACACAAATGTAGTGTACAACTGAGGACGCCAAACAGAATGACGTAAGGGGTTTTGGCGAAAAAGCGATTGATGAATATCCTTCTGTGGACGAATGCATAACACCAATAGGTCACATTCATAAACAAGTTGATTAAACCAGGGGGATCCACTTGAGCAATTGACATATGAATGCTGGAATACTACATAGATCGACAACTAGGTACATTGAAGTTATGTAAAAAAAACCGCATAACAACAGCTTGAGTGTGTAACAGTGTGGAAAAAAAATAAAAAAGCTGAAAATCGAACACTGATGGCTAATGATTAAGTCGATTTTTTCTGCAGGAGACAAAGATGCGAATGTGAATGCGGGTAATACACAAAAACAGAGGAATCGAAGGAACTACTTCCTATCAAAAATGAAGGGATAGCAGGACGCATGTTCTATGGCAGATAAAAAATGAGGGATATCGCCAATTAAAGGTCGCCGGTACCGTGTTGATTCCATCTCGCCCTTCCAGAAATTTTGCGTGTTCGGGTGTTGCTTCTTAGCATTAAACACTAGCAGCATACATCGGAAGGTAAAACATAGGAGACTAGAGAGTCACGCCGTGCCCCACATAAAGCAGCTTGAATAGTTGAAAAGAATACTGCACCCCATGCTTGAGAGTCACTTAATAGAACGAGACCAATTCGCCTAGTCCCAAATAAACGATGAGGTTACTAGATTCCGCACCGCAGTTAGTAAGTCAGCCTCAGTGCCGGGCTATCCATCGTGTGAGAAGACCGCATAGGAAGATAGGGTGAATATACGAAGAGCATAGACACACTAAACGTCAGATAAAATGTGAACAAACATCTGAAATACAGACTTCAAGGTTCATGATGATACGCAACCATGCGACTAGCCACGTTACCTAATCGCTAAATCATCGACCCTTCATGCTAGCCGTTGGTCCAGAGACGATTCGGCGTTAAAAGAGGTGAGTGGAGAAGATATACAGCTTACGTTGGTGGGATAGCCAGGTGAAGTACGCCAGCAGGTTAATATTAGGTGTTGCCTATTCGCAATAGTGCACTCCGAGACCGGATACAAACTCGTCTGCTCACATCAGGTAGGGACAGAAGGACTGCTCTTAAAAACTGGGCTTTAGGGATGTCAATCGTATCCTCTACCCTATGCCATCGACTAGCGACAAGCAACGCTTGATACAACGGCTAACGGAGAACGCGTTGTGCGAATAGATTGCAACAAAGGTCATTGGGATCAAGCAAGTGAACGATCAACCGAATACAAGAAAAGGCAATGAGTACAAACAGAAGTTGCGGTGGCAGGTTTGGATTAAGGGTATTCTATCATGAACAAATATTGACTGCAAATTTCGGGAGGAAACAACGGTGAATCGTCGACAGATAAATGACTACATCAAGCGACGTTGCGAACGTGCATAAAAACGCACTGGTGCAACAGGAATAAAAATGTGTACGCAATCGCTAGATGTAGATAAATCCGCTACCAGATACGCAAAGGCCGAACCAGCCTGATAAGTCATCAAGGTTGTCACGGGAAGCCAAGATAGAGAGGCAGTTAAATAGGTGTCCCCGTACATGAAAGACGCTGCTTATAGCATCATTCATTAGACCGTGTCGATACTGCACATCCGGTGCATTTTTGCTGCGGTTTAGATAAACTGGATTTGTGTTGCCGCATGGACGTAGTTAATCCTCCGAGGAGGTGGTGGATACCACAGCGATGTAAACACAACTCGATTGTGTTCAGATGCAAGATCCTGCATATTTTACTGCACCCTGAAGAACGCCGTCACAAAGCAGTGGGCAAGAAACAGCGGGCGAAGGAACATGTAGAGCACGTATGTGCAAGATTTTGGTATATGAATCTGAGCGGATACTTCGACAGAATTCGCAACTTGATATTGGGGTTCGGCAAGCAAAAAGGATGAAAGTTCCTACCATCCACCAGAAAAATGGATGACCATGAAAAAAAGCGAACAGTCTGACCAACCATCTTTGTAGATCAGGTTGGATAAGATGGTGAATAAGCACAGGAGTGCATTAAGATACCAAGACGAAGAGCTCTCGACACTGGTAAATGTGGAAGTGCATTTGTGTTGGCATGTAAAACGTCGGAGAGTAGATAAGGAGGTTCGGGTGTCGATGCACAGTTCCAAGACCGGCGAGCAGAAGATAAAGTCAATGCCAATAGACAAAAGCACACTCACATATTCTGTTACGGTAGTTGGATTGTCGATTCCGTGAACGCGCTCGCTGATCATGGTGGCCCGATGCTGAAACAGTAGAGCAGCTTGATGTTCGCTCATAACATAGGAAAGTCTTGCTAATAGACGATTGCACGCTCCAATGTCAGGATGGAGAGGCCCGTACACGGCATTTAAGAGGTTAAGAGCCTCATTGATTAGCTCGAAACCTTCTTGTAAGTGACCAGAAGAGATGCGTGCCTGTCCGGTAGTAAAATAGTGGTATGCGTCGGTGGCATGTGGATGCAGGTGCTTTACAATTGGATAAAGGGAAAGGATATCTTCAGTGAAGAAGACGGGACGCGTGTGGTGTTTTGCACCGTTCGGTGGAGTGAGTTGATAATCACGCAATAAAAGCTGGATTCCCACAGTGGAACAAAATGAACGAAGAATTTGAGTGCGTTGTATTTCGAACTGAGCACAGAATGCATCGATGTCCGGCCTAGAAGAATGCAACAGGAAAGAAGATTCGAGTGAGAAGCCTGCCAACGTGTCATCAATGAATAGTAGTCAGTGTCCGATTGGCAAAAAAAGGGCGATTAGCACCACAGGATGCCGCGGGAGCATATATGTTCAACAGCGAACAGATGACGGAACGTATGCACGAAGTGGATGAAATTGTAGGAGGTGATCACAGATCAAACTCATCACTCGCAAGTGACACAAGAAAATGGGTCAACGATTGGTGCACATAACCTCAACTTAAATAGATCGTCGAAGAATATTTTAAATCTAGGTAGATAGGTTCGTGTAGCAGACGGACAACGCTATGCCCATAAAATTGAGGAGCAGAAGACAGTAACAAAGCTCACTATCATGATTATCAAAAGCAAGGATGAAACGGGAAAAAGGTGAGAGTACCACAGTTAGTAGAAAAAAACATTGAGCGTAAAAAATGAGCAGACAGAATAGGGACAACTGATGTGAGAAGCGAATGCAAGACTGACATTGGTTCGTTAGAATCCAGGATAATTTCTGAATTTCGGTGTGATCAATTCGAGGCTCTCACAGGAATAATGCTGGTATCATGACAAACGGCAGCAGAGAGCTTACCTACCTTGATACAGCCGGGTCCAAAACTCATTTTGTAGCAACGAGGAAAATGTCAGGACAATAAAATCATCCATACATTTACTACAAGCGTTTGGAACTGCTCTCAAGATCAAACACCATACACCGCACTTGGGTTACATTCGTAAGAAGTGCGATGTCGTGCGTAACAAGGAAATCCAGTGAACTATGCTGCGCTGTCGCTCCCGAGCACTACGCAAAGTAAACGAGGGGGGTTGTTCAGTATAGTAGTGGGGAAAGCAACATTTATCGTTTGAGATTTCAAAATGATTTTCCACTGAGATATTTTCTTTGCACTCTAAGCGCTTACTGCTTAGCGCTGAGACAAACACGGATGTGTCTATCGCCACCGCAAACGAAGTGGCAGTCATCCAAATCCAAACAACAATCACCCAGTGCGCTTAGAAGTCCGATACTTTGATACTGCGTACGAGCAAGCAGATTTACCCCACGTTCTTACGCCGGTAAATTGTAGCTATGGTGGACAATACATAATGGAGGGAAAAGGTGTAAGGGGCTATGGAGCGCGATTCGCATTCGCAAGGTATACAGAGGTAACCTGTGTGTAGGCGAACCGTAATCATCGCAACCGGGATCAAAACAAGAAGAAATAAGTTCGAGGCATCCTCTGTAGTGTGGTACAGTTGAGTAATCAGTTGCTGCGCATAAATGATGCGGACCATGGTGATTCCGTTCGTTGGGAAGCAATGGTTATAGCTTCCAACGAAGACAGGAGAAAAAAAGATGGAACCGTGATATACCTGTTGAGATACTTTTTCATTCACACAATATTGCAAAGCCATAGCTTCAGAATGAAACTTGTTTAGTGTGCAAGGATTAAGGCCAGCTTGGTAGCATGTCAGAGTAGTACTATGCAACGTTTATGTCATCAGGGGTATGGAAAAGGACTTAAAAATGCTACGTTTCGTTCAAGAAAGTTAAAATAGTATGGTAACAGAAACGAATCTGTAAGCCAACAAACTTTGTTTTGAGGAAATTCGTAGCAGCAGCATTTAGTCAGACAGCCATCGAGCTTCCGGAAGAGAGCTTTATAGTCATTTTTCCCTGGAAGCTCGCATTCCACAGGAACCCCTGGCAACTCGAACCCACGACAAGTTGCTTGGGAGACGGTGGCTTAAGCCATCGATCCAAATGTGACGGTGATGAATGCGTAATGGCTATCTAACTTAAACTGGTTGCAATGGATATCACAAAAATACGACCAGTAACGCCCGAACTTGTAAAGAGGGAAATCGTGGCTCAAAGGATCAACTCTGCTCTCTGCATGTTGGTGAAGTACATCGTAGTAGAGGATGAGAATGCTACGTTAAAGCTCGTCACGGTGGCGAGTCGCAAGAGAGCGATATAGTTAATTTTTGGATCCATTCGGCTGAGTACAAAGTAGAAAGCTAGCAAATGATGTTGAACCGACAAAATGTAGATGTAACGCTTGCGAAAAACTTGTTAAAAATGCTACCAGTCACCGACGGGCGTAAAATGAGATAGATACAGTTAAAGGACGGCCAAACTTGGACTGACGCAGATATTTGGTAGTGGTAATACTCCTTGGCTTCTTTCACGATATCTGCCCAAAGGGTTGCAGGAGTGTCGCTGATCCAGGACATTTCCTCTGCAAAAACAAAGAAAACACGATGAAAATCAACTACCGGTGTGTAAACTTAGCAGTAACGATGTACAGAAAATGTAGCTTAGGGCATAGGTGACAAGCCACAAGATGAACGACGATCCTTAAACGGAAAGCGAGAGGAAGATGGATGGACTATGTAATGAAAAGTCATATCAAGGAGTATCGATCAGCAACTAACTCGCGAAATGTGCGTGTACAGGAGGAATTGAAACTTATATGACGAGATGCGAAGAAGGGTAAAATATAGTAATCGCCAGCCCAACCTTAGCGATAAGGAAATAAAAGCTGTTGACGCAAGTGACAAATGCATGAAAGTCAAACAAATAGGGTGCAACCACGTTGAAATGGTTGAGAATATCCGTAGCTCAGGATGAGGATGTAGGTTTTGTACTGCTCTCCGAGCTGAATCATTAATTTGCAGAGATTTCGCTGCCAGACTAGGCAACATCATCAGTGCAGTCTTGTTTCGCAGAGCCTCGTAAGCGACTTCGAGATCTAAGTGTTTACTGATCGAGTTCCGATTTGAATACCAGGCTTCTATAAACGCACTTCTATTTGTTCTCCGAGCCTGGCGGTTTGGCTGCAAACGCTTCACCACTATGCGAGGTGGCACATTAAGTGCAGTGAAACGTTTGCGACAAAACCGTCAAGCTCAGAGAATAAATGAACAATTGAATCATCAACCCGAGCTAACAGTATTCCGAAACAGTTTAAACTGACGTGAAGAAGTCGGTCACCTGGGAGTAGCTTCACACCTTGTAAGTCATGCCCATCAAACTAATCAATGTACAGCGAGGTGAACAAGTCTTGCATAATCTTAAAAAAGGCTTGCCTTTTCTGATTTACCACTCGCGCATTATAGATACGTCATATAATTTACAACATACCTTACAGTCGATATTTTCAATAATGTCAAACCTAAACTGTGGCATTTCAGCCGCTATATTATTTATACAGAAGAGCTCTTACTGGATAGTATCATCCGAAAATTGCATTCTAACTGTGGTGTCGCTTAACACGACGTAGCGTAAGAAATTTTTGATAGTCCATCACATGTCAGGAAAAGCAATAGACGGCAGTTTCAACCTGTTGGGCACCATCAGTAGCACGTATCCATCGGAGATATCAGGATTCGGACTCATGGTCGCCAACGGCTTGAACCGCCAGTCAGTAGCCTATGCCGTTGGGGACAGCTTCTGGGCGTCATGATTTACAACCTAACTGCGAAATAGCGCGATTTATCCTTCAATGTCATGCCAGTGTCCCGAAAGACACAACGTTCACTGACAGTATGATATAGCATTTGGGAATTGTTAGGACAGTGCAAGATAATGGCGGTCATGGGTTCTAATCCTGATGGATCTGATGGATGCGCACTAGTGATGATGCCCAGCAGGTTGAAACTGCAGTCTAATGTCTTTTCGGGCATGCGGATAACTATCTGATTTGGAAGCTGGCTGTGATGAAAACTCAATTAGTTGCAACAAATCACCCTTCATGAGCATATTTTGTTTTAGTAGCCCAGAAAAAGAACGTGTACAGAAGTTCAAGTGTTAATACTTGATTGTTCAGTTTTGTTTCTCTTAACGGGACTTTACCTCACAGGCATTGAATGCACCAGATATTGAAGATGTTCGCATATGACGACACCACGCTAAGCACCAATAAAAGACATAAGAAGTTGTTTTTGGTCGTTGCTTGTTTCTTTGATATTTATGGCGATAAACTGTAGCACAAATTTTCTATTAGATTCAGACCCGGGGACCTAGCTGCCAATTCGAGCGTCGTCACCTATAATTTTTTCATCCATTCTGCGATTGACCTTGCACGGTGGCATGGCGCATTATCATCCCGCAAGAAGTGCTCTTCCTTGAAAAGCTTTTGAACTGATGGTAACATGCAGCTTTTGAGGATCGTCGCATAGTTACGTGCACTAACCATGTTATCAACGATATGGAGCTTTCCAACTCCATTGGCGAACATGCAACCCCAAATCATGGTTTTTGTTGGACGAATAGCAGAGAGATCGAGACACTATGGTTTGTATTCTTCCCGTGGAAACCGTCGGACGAATGGGCTGCCATGATACTAAAGAATGCAAAAGTGACTCTTATCACTAACTAAAATGCTCTCCCAATCTTCTTGGTCCAACATGAATATTTTCCGAATCAAGTCAGTTTTCGTTTCCTTTGCGTGTCAGATAACAGTGGTTTCTTCCCTAGCCTGTAGCATCGCAGGTCGAATTCCAAACTCCGTCCCTTCACTGTCGAAACGCACACATCCACAGAATATTGCTCAGCAACGGAGGAGACATAAGTTTCCTGTCCCTCAACAACCCCCGGTTATCTCGATCTGTGAACTTTTTGGCTTCACCAGATCGATGCGTCATTTTTGCTTTCAATTTCAGTATGCGTTTTGATAAGTTTGATGACTGTGCTTTGAGTACAGCTAACTTTTGCCGCCACTTCCCCGCTTGAGAAACCTTCTTCATGGAACAGTACTACTTTAACTCACGCATATTTGTCCAAATATTAAAGAATCCCATGATGAAGCTTTACTCAGTTTGGCAAATAAGTGCTAGGAGTTAGTACTAAAATTCGTCAGACTTACGAGTATATATCCTGTCATGTTAATAGTAAGAAATTCTGTCTTAAAGTCCGTTTCCATCCCAATGTAAGACAGCCGAAACATTCTACAGCGAAAAAATCACGCAAGTCACTCCACTTAATAGTTTGTAGACAAAACAGTCTTAAAACAATGAGAGCAACAAGTACTGGGCAAAGTGATACAGTCTTGTCACACATCGAATTTTAGTTAGAAGATGAAGTCATCAAAGCACAGAAGCACGTTATTTGTCAAGGTGATGCAGGACATTTCCACAGCGATGTAAGTGGTGTTGAACAAGGCTACTAAGAACTTATATCCCAGAAGTTGAGTGGACTAGTTGGAGAGGATACCCATCGTTGTCACACAACTGATTAGGGATGACTGATTTTCGAATGTAACTTGATTATTCCAGTTTATTGGATTGAATACAGGCAACAATTCAGACAACTATGAGACGAGTGGTATACAAAGTGCAGACACAAAGGCACTATGGGGAAATAAGCACGCACCATGGTGTTATAATCTTCTCACTGGACGCGATTCCGAAATTGACACTTCACTGCTCCACAAAACTTCTAGCCCAACCGAAAAAAGCAGAACGCCAATGACCTTGACGAAATAACGTATTAATCGCCGTCAACAAACAGTGGACAACTACCACGGACCTTGGTTTCATTTATAGGTCTCTTACTGACCTTCGACTTCTAGAATTGGAAGGTCAGGTACCAATGTTAGTTGTTCCCCATAGCTTTTTCCAAGGTGTCAGGTGGTTTCTAGTCACCTGCAGAACTAGCACATTCCGGAACGTTCGAAATCGAGGGCATAACCGTTAATAATCGATTAATCGCTAAAATAGTGGATTTGCTGGACAATTATTACTTTCTCCTGGACACCTCCCCTCCTGAGATATCGTCCGAGGTATACGACGAAAGCCTAGGATTAACTTGCAGTCTTCGGAACGGTGTTCTCTGCCTGTCGGTCCATCTCCTTGGCAGAAGTGCCCGAGAACTGTGTTCCGATGTCCGTGTTCTGGATTCTTTGCTCGACTGTGTGCAGTCGTCCACTGCTACCTTTGGCAAGTGGAAGCTTCCCACCAATAAATAGAACGGGAGGTCGGTAGGGTTTGCTTGCTCTGGTTGGCACAATGTTGGTCGTAACTGGTTTGCATGCCGTGCCCAGATCTGTGCGCCCATCATCACGTCATAGATGACGTTTCCGCGCTTGCTTTTGACCGTCTCTAGCGTCCATTTTGCATGGCCTTCCCGATAGTCAGGTACTAGCACTTTCTGCCAAGCGTAAACGCTCGCTTCTTTACTCCATGTCGCCGGTTAAAATCCTGTTCCATTCTGCGGTTTCTTACACCAACAGAGGATTCCGTGCTCGGTCGGATGGCATCGAAAGGCATGCGGAGCTTCCGGTTTATCATACCCTATGCTGGAGAAACTCCGACTGGCGCTTGTGGATTCGGTGTTGATCAACAGAGAAAAAAGAACCGGTCAGCCACCTCCTCTATACGTCCATCCCCTTTTGATTTGTGGAGAGCTCGCTTGAACCTATCAACAGACTTTTTGCCTGCGCATTCGACTGTGAGTGAAACGGTGGCGAGCGAATGTGCTGGACAGCGCATTGCTTGCAGAACTCCGTAAATGTTGCCGAAGTGAATTGTGTACCATTGTCAGTTACAATAGTCTCAGGACAGCCGAATTCGCTAAAAGTTTGGCGCAATTTTGATACAGTGGCATTGGTGGTTGTGCTATCCATGAGAAATATTTCAGGTCACTTGCTGTATGGTTCGACTATAATAAAGAAAACTTCTGCCGCTGATCAGTCCTGCAAAGTCGACATGGATGCGGCACCATGGCCTAGTAGCTTTTGGCCATGAATAGTTCTGATGTTTGTGGCGTTTTCAAGACATTGGACACTTTTGACAGTGTTTAGCTATTTCTTCTAGCTGTTTGTCCAATAAGGGCCAGTATACGTAACTGCGAGCAAGCGCCTTCACCCGGTTGGTCTCAGAATGCCCGGCGTGGAACTGCCGAATAAGGCGCTCCTGAAGTGCCTTTGGGATGACCACTCTCCGAGAATAGTATGCAGTCGTTCACAATAGAGCGTGTCTCCTCTGGAAGTACTGTTACAACTCGGCAGATGGACATGAACGTGGACAACTTGTTTTGTGGAATTGCGTAACCTTCTTGAGTATTGGGTCCCGAAGTGTTTCGGTTCGTACAGCTTCTGCGGTGACTGGTAGACCGTGCAATGCATCAGTTACCAGATAGTTGACGTCCGGTTCAATCTCGACCGAGGCAATGGTTGTGTCCTCATATTCTTGCTGATGGGCGTCATTAGGCATGACAATGCATCCGCTTGGCCAAAGG